TGATCCTGGTGTTATTTCTTGAATGTTTTAGTTTTAGGGTTATGCTAAATTTTGTAAAGGCACTAGCTGAATTGAGTAAAATTTGAAATATGTTAACATTTAAAATGAGACATTTCAATTCTTCTTATTTGGTCTTCTGAAAATACTATTAAACTATGGAAATAAGAAACTCAATTTTTAGAAAATGCAAGCAACAAACAAGTTGCTTCAAATGAGATAATATTTGATCAAACTTTATCAAAAATAAAATATAGTTACAGCAAGGGCCTCTTTGAAGAAGCAGATCTTAGTCATCCTGCAGCCTCAGTACTTTGTAATAATGATTTGCTGACTGTTGGGTCCAACTCTGGGCACGTGTGTGATGCAGGATGGAAGAGATGCAGTCTCTGCACTTCAGGAACCCTGTAGTGTAACTGTAGAGACGACACCTGTACAGACAGAACCACATTACAAGGCAGCACATGAGATGTATAACATTGATCGCGTTTAGTGCTATAGAATTTTTGATAAAGGAGAGATCTCTGATTGGATGTCAATTAAGTCTTCTTGGAAAAGATGAACTTGAAGGCTGTTTTACACTAATTATTATTATTAGCATTTTTATGCTAATAACACAGTTTGAAGAAGAGTGACTAGAACTTAAAACTCCTGCTTACCCATACTTTTTTATGTGGTTAACTGAGAGTATAACTTAATGCTTAGGAGTAAAATATCTGCCATGTTCTCGATAAATGTTGCCCATCGTCATCAGTTATACTGTCCTTGAAAACTCATCAGCTCAGTCCTTGCTTCTCCAGGAGGCCTTTCCTACCAAACCTAACTGTATGAATTGTCCTCTCTTCTTTATTCCTGGAGAATCCTCAGCATGTCATTACCAAAGCACTGTAATCTATGGCACTGATTTCTAATTAATGCTTTATTTCTCTGTCTCTCCCACTAAAGTTCCTTGAAGTTATGGAACGTGTGTATCCCAAACCTAGCATTATTCCTAATGCTATTCCTAAATACATTATCATAGTGTCTAAGGCTTAATACATTTTTGTTGAATGAATAATTGAACTCAACCAAGATTATATTTAGTATAAGAAAATGGATATTTATATAAAGTTGATGGCAGTGATGACGGAGAGAAATGGATCCATTCAGGCTATGTTTTGAGATAGAATTGACAGGATTTATTGATGAATTGGATGGAGAATGAGGGAGATGGATGAGCCAAAACTTGAGAAGCTGGGTAATGCCATTAACTGAGATAAGTTAGGCTGGAGAAGAACAGTCTGTCTTACAGATGTTTTAGTAGCCTACTCCACTTTTGCATAAAGCTATCAAATGGGCACTTGCATGTGAGTCTGGAGCTCAAAGAAGAGAGCAAGACAGGAAATGTAATCAGGAAGTTAGTAACGTATGGATGGCATTTAAAGCTAAGGGTGAAATTGGCTTGTGGGCGAATGTAAGCTGAGGAGAGAGGAGGGCTCAGAACCAAGCCTGTAGCACTCCAGCATCGGGTGGTCTGGAAGGATGGAGACAATAGCAAAAAAAAAACAAACAAAAAAAAAACCAAAACTGAGGAGGTAGGAGAACACTAGAGAGAACTGTTTCAAGAAACCACTAGTTGGCGTCAAATGCTGCTGAAGGATTAGGATGAAAATAGAGAAGTGGTCACTGGATTTGGCAACATAATGATTGTTGGTGGCCTTGATTGCGTAGTGGGGGGTCCAGAAGCCAAATTGGAATGAGTTCAAGAGTGAATGCGAAGCAAGGGACTAGGAATCTGTAGGAGTTAAATCCTCGAGTAGGCTGAAGGGGATGGGAATCCCTTCTGCAGCTTTCGGTCTTCCTGTTTCAGCAATTCCCAAACTGAACTCATGCATTGCCCTCCAAAATCTTTTCCTTCTCATGATGCAGACTAGAACTGCCCCGGTTAGCATGCTTGTCTCCTTCCTCTCCTTACCCCATTTAGTCAGATGCCTTGGGCTGTTGAGTCTTCTTTATGATACTTTTCAAATTGGAATCCTTCATTTCGTTGTCATTGCCACTTAACATTGCTCTTTCCAAGTATTAATTAGCTCTTCCCCATGTGCCCCCCATGGTTTCCTGAGTACTCACTGCTTTTATTCTCTCCCTTGCCAATATATCCATCCATCACAGCTAGAACGTTCTTCCTAAAATACAGCTTTGCTCATGTTATTCTCCTGCTAAAAATAAAACAAAATATTTTAGCCTGGCACTGAGAACTCTACCTTTTTATCTGAATTACTTTCTCTTCATTCAGCCTGCTGTTCTGAAGTATTTGCTTCAGGACAAGTACTTGCTGAAGTATTGCTGTTCTAAAGTCTGTTTCCTAAATATAACCTGCGTCTTTGGCCTCTGTGACCTCACAGTCACTGCTGCCTGTGACTGATGTGCCTTTCCCTGCCTTCTCTTACATTTTCTGTATTTCCAAATGCTGAGTACCTCTAACAGATGGTGGAGTACACCCTAAAAATTGTGAAATTTCAAGGCTTTCAGTGCTGCTGCTTTACTTCATCAGTTCTTTAAAAGTTCCATAATACTGGTCGGGCACAATGACTCATGCCTCTAATCCCAGCACTTTGGGAGGCCAAGGCGGGCAGATCACCTGAGGTCAGGAGTTTGAGACCAATCTGGCCAACATGGTGAAACCCCATCTCTACTAAAACTACAAAAATTAGCCAGGCGTGGTGGTGGGTGGCTGTAATCCCAGCTACTCGGGAGGCTGAGGCAGGAGAACTGCTTGAACCTGGGAGGCAGAGGTTGCAGTGAGCTGAGACCACACCACTGCACTGCAGCGTGGGTGACAGAGCGAGACTCTGTCTCAAAAAAAAAAAAAAAAAAAAGGGTTCCATAATACTGATTTTTTTCTTTAAACCAATTATTTGTACCACCACTACCTCAAGCAGTCATCTTTTTTAGTAATTGGGTACAGGAATGATTTTCTTTCTGAAGGGAAGTTTCTTGGAAATTTCACTGGCAGTTGTGGAGTTGTGGGTCATGACACTGTGTGACAGAGGATACCCAGAAAATGCTGGGCTTGTCCTCTTCACAGCAGCAGCCAGACGGTTACAGGGTGTGCAGGACGTGTCCATAGGAAAAGCACCCTCCTCAATTGCACACTCACTCATTAATGTATTTAGTAGTAGATGCTGGATTCCTTGTTTTTATGGTTGTTAATATTTGGGGGTAGGAGAAGAACAGTGTGTGTGAAATCATCATTCTGAGTTTCAGCTTTTTAAAACAAGAGAGCCCTTTAGAAATTCTGCTCACAGTCACACATTCTAAAAGAAGAAAATTAGAAGCTCTCTAAAGATTGTAATCATAGAAAAAAAAGAATTGCTCATTAGAATATTGAACTGAGTGTTCCATCAACTTTCCGCACATCGGGGAATTGCTAATGTGAGGACGTCACTAAGAAGTAGATTGAAGATATCTTTTTGAGATCCTCTTATGATACATGTTGCCCTCCCGTTGTATTCTGGTTTTTATTATTGGGGTATAAAGCAGATTTTAGGCATATATAGCTTGTACCTAGTTAAGCTTTTAAGAATGAAGTTGATTATTTTATTGACTGAAGGGAAACAACCCAGGGTTTTCTTTTTTTTTTTGAGACAGTGTCTCGCTCTGTTACCCAGGCTGGAGTGCAGTGGCACCTTCTTGGCTTATTGCAAACTGTGCTTCCTGGGTTCAAGCGATTCTCCTGCCTCAGCCTCCCTAGTAGCTGGGATTACAGGCGCCTGCCACCACGCCTGGCTAATTTTTTTGTATTTTTAGTAGAGATGGGGTTTCACTGTGTTGGCCAGGCTGATCTCGAACTCCTGACCTCAGGTGATCTGCCCATCTCAGCCTCCCAAAGTGCTGGGATTACAGGCATGAGCCACCGTGCCCGGCCACACAGGTTTTTGAAAAAATGGGATTGAAAATTCTTGCATAGTTTTTGAACCACGGTGCTGGATAATTATTATAAGTAGATATTGTTAGGGAAAAAAGGAGTGGGATGACCATCTGATTTAAGAACCTTCACTTTGGCTGTTGCAAGAACATTATCTACTTGGCCTTTCAGTAGGCAGCTTGCCAGTCCTTTCTAGCAGCTGTTGAATGTAGTCAGCTATTTTGGAACATGAGGGGTATTGTAATTAGGTGTGTAGAAAATTGATTTAAGAATTCAAAACATCTCTAGATTTTTAGTAAAACTCTATAGTGCAAGTAAAAAATAAATGTCTCATTTTAAGTGGGATAACAGCCTTTATTTCCTCAGAATTACTCATTAGTACTGATAATGAGGAAAAAAATACGTAACTACAAAATTGTGAGGGAAAACCTCAAAACAACTTGCTTTGCTTTCTTTGTCACAAAATGTTTATTTTAATATATATTTTCCCCACTGTACACTTCCCAGGAACCTTTGTGTTTTGGCATCCTTACTTAACATTAACAGAATAATAAACCAGAAGATTCCTGGAGGCTTGGCCCTTTGTGGCAGAATGAGCTGTGCACCTCCATCCTTTGATATGCGCTTTCCCCCTTTTTTCCTTTGCTGTTGAAAGGGAAAACAACTGCTTCTACTTTGGATAATTTTTAACTAATGATCTCAAAAATCCAGTATGGAATATTTATCCGTCAAGGAAAAATTGTGTTAAGTGCATTTTATAAACTGATTCTTATATATATGAGATGGTTCATAGCTGGGATTAAAATGCTGTGTTGTTGTAATTGTTTTATTGTTTAGATGAAATTGTTTAGATTATTATTTGGATTCTGGTGGAACTTTTTTGAGCCATTAATAGAAAATAGCAGAAATAACTGAAAATAGTTGGTTTAGGCTCATTGTACTGGTCATTTCAGTAAAGTATAATTGATATGTGAAGATACAGAAATACGACTGTGGGCATTTAAAGTACATAAATTTTTATTATGATGGAAGAACAGTTTTCATTGGGAAGAGATTTTAAATTTGCATTGTCTTGTCTTTTTTTTTCCCCCTACAGGAAGGAACTTGAAACCTTCAAAGGTAATTTTGTGTTAATTCTTCACTTTAAAATAGTTGAGAGTTAATTGGTGTCAGATGTTCTCTCTTGGTAATGATCAGCGAACTCTTTTTTTTTAAATCAGTTTACACAAAAAGTAAAACTTGATGCTGTTTTTGTAGGTTTTGTTTAATCACAAGTGGTTTTGATATTCTCTTTAGCACATATACCAAGTGAGAGTTTCTGCTAATGACCTTTATAAATGGTATGTTAGGAAGGTGCAGTGCTAACTTTGAGATTGTTGAGAATCATAGTTTAAGAAGATTCTGGTTTCTCTTGTGCAGTCTGGGCCACGTGGAAAGGGAATGGTGACAAAGATCAAGAGGTGCCCCTGCAATTGACCTTGCAGTCACTCAAACCTCCTGAGAGGTCTTCAGTGCTGGGTCCTGCTCTGCTGCTGTCTTGTGACTTTGGATGAGTCTCTTACCTTTTCAGGCACAGTTTCTCTTTCCATCTGTAAAATTAGAGGCTCAGATGAAATATATTCTGAGATTCCAAAAGCACCCAGCATTACTTTTTACGTTTAGGGAATGCCTGAAGGAGGGACACTAGAGAATGATTCTTGGTTATATTGACCGTTACTGGTCATGGAGAAAGGCTAGTGGAAAACAGAAAAAAATACAAACTTTCCAGCAGCTCAAGGTTCTTCCAGTTTGCCATTTTTCAATTAATTACTCATGAGCAATTAAGTACTAGAAATCCTATTCTCGAGAGACTCATTTCAATAACTGAGAAAACTTTTTGAAATCACTTCTGATTTAGTTGTTTTATGCTTGTTATACTTCACATATAAACCAGCATTGTCCTTTAGATTTGCTGAATGGTGAAAGATTTCCAAGTATATCGTTTGTGGTTGAATTGTTGATATGTCTGATCTGTTTGAATTTAGAAAAAATGACAAATTCTCAAGATAAAAGGTATAAAAGCGTATTCCTCCTATAGTTATTATTGAACAGCCTTGTTTGGCTGGATTTCTGTTTGACCTACTACAGCTGTAGTAAATGATTAAGCTCCTGGCCAGTTGGTTGAAGGTAATGTTAAATGACCATGTGATAGAATGTGTTGTCATGGCTGTCATTGTTCTTAATTCGATTTGTAAACCACTACTTGCATACTTTTTTTTTTAAATCAGTGCTTTAAAATAAGATTTGAAATCCTTATAAAATGCCTTTTCCTTCTCATTCTTTTCTTTTGGTTGACTAGTTTAGTATCTTCTTATGTAACGGTAAGAGATGAAAAAAACAATCAAGTTAATATTAATAGACAGGGCAGGGACACAGATTATATAAAATGTCAGTTTTACTTGCATCTCAGTGCTGAGGCATACTTTTTTTAGTATGACAATATTCAGAGAAAAAGAAGAGAATAGCAGTTTGCAAAAGGTTAGGTAGTGTTGCATATTACCCGATAGAAAAATTCAGTTTAAGCTGAAATATCTTGTTTATACACACATTCCTAATTATGTACAATTAACAGCACATCAAATCCACCCACAGGCCAATTAAAGATCTCAAATGTGAACAAACCCTAAATTGAATGTTGCATTATATCAAGATTTTTAGTATCAGTGTTCATTCAAAATTGTTTCTTCTTGAGTGTTTTGCTAATATTTTAAAAACGAGGCCTGGGCATGGTGGCTCACGCCTGTAATCCCAGCACTTTGGAAGGGCCTCCTTTGGGAGGCCAAGGGGGTGGATCACCTGAGGTCAGGAGTTCAAGACCAGCCTGGCCAACATGGTGAAACCCCATCTCTACTAAAAATTTGTTGGTACACCCAGCTACTCAGGAGGCTGAGGCAGGAGAATCACTTGAATTCGGGAGGCGGAGGTTGTAGTGAGCCAAGATCACACCACTGCACTCTAGCCTGAGCCACAGAATTAATACAAAAAAAAAAAAAAAAGAAAGAACCCTATAACAAGAAAAACAGAAATGTAATAGCTCTTCCAAAGTATTAGTGAAGAAAAAAACATTTAAAAATTTGTTTGAACATACTGTGGCAATTTATTATTTTTTGAATATTGCCTTTTTCCTTTTCAGGTTGCAGGAAAATAAAAGGTATTACTTCCTCCAATTGCTTTATTCAACTTATATTTAGAAGCTCTTTTCTAAATTGGGGGAAAACTAACTTTTGAGAACCAAAATACAAAATTAGTAACCTTCAAAATTAGTAATGTACATTAATATCATCCACCAAGTTCTGGATTCTCCCTTCTGTACTCCATAGAGGTTGATGAGTTGTGTTCACCTTACTTCTGCTGCATATGGCCAATCTCTACAAGATTATTAAAGCCAGTTGTTCTTGTCTTAATATTGGCAGTCGGAAATTTTTCTGTGTTCCCCAAATACTGCATTCATTTAAACTTTTTAGTGACAGTCACTTAAATATTAAATAGCAGAAAAAGGAGGTTAGGATCATAAAAGTCCTTATTTTATATTTTTAGTGGGAAGGCATTCCATTATTGTAAGCACATGTAGAGTACGTAAGCTTTCATAGTCTTTAAAGACATAAGACATTGAAGACTTAGCTCTGGAAAACAGAGGCAGTGGAAGAGGCAGAACCAGAGTGGTCAGAGAAACAGGAAGACCAAGGCAATGTAGTGACAAAACAAAAAAAAAACAAACAAAAAACCAAAAAACCCCACAAAACTGCAGAGGAGAGGGTTTAAAGGAGGAAAAGTGGTAATCCGTTATACAAGTAATGCAGAGAAGTTGAGCCGAATGGGGAGAGCCTATTGGATTTGACAATGAACAGGTCATTGGTGACCTGAAAGAGCTGTTTATAAAGGGTAAATCTGAATTGAAAATCAGAAGCGTATGAATAGGCCAGGCATGGTGGCTCACACCTGTAATCCTAGAACTTTGGAAGGCTGAGGCAGGCAGATCACTTGAGGTCAGGCATTCGAGAACGGCCTGGCCAGCATGGTGAAACCCCATGTCTGCTAAAAATACAAAAAAATTAGCCCAGCGTGGTGGCGGGTGCCTATAGTCCCAGCTACTTGGGAGGCTGGGGCATGAGAATTGCTTGAACCTGGGAGGCAGAGGCTGCAGTGAGCCGAGATTGTGCCACTGCACTTCAGCCTTGGCAACAGAGTAAGACTCTGTCTCCAAAAAAAGAAATGTGTGAGTAGTTAGGAAATAAAGGTGACATGAACTAATTGTTCAATCATGAATGGATAGAAAAAAATGAAAATGTAACGAGATAGGATCCGGGTCAAAGTCAGGGGAGGTATAGTTGAAGATATTGAAGGAGTCATTATGATATTAAAGAAAATGGAAGGAAATGGTATCCAGATAGTTATCCTTGGAGGGTGTCCAGGGACATCTCTTTTCCTAAGACCTTAGAGAAGGAAAGGATGGCTGATAATATAGGGAAAAGTTGACATAGAAGGATGAAAGAATTTTTTGAGAATTCACGTAAGGAATGATAATATGAATTTTCAGGGCTAGGCTCAGAAGCAGAAATAAAAAAGCAAAAACAAATATGCTTTGGCTAATACAGAGTTGGAAATGGGAAGACATGTAAGATGGACCAGCAGGCATGGTAACCATGGATGCTAATGAGACTGTGATTGAAATGATTGGCTGTGGAGTTCACACTGGAGAGGAGAGGCCTGACCAGACCATGAGAATAAGCAGGCTGAATGGTACAGGTGAGGTACCCCATAAAGGGGAAGAACACTTTTAGTGGTTGAGGTGGATCTTGTGGTCAAAGAAGAGATTTCAGTTTGAAATCTTAGAAGGGGAGCAATTCCCAGTGATGATGATGGCTAAATTTGAGTAAAAATAGAAGGCACCAAGTCATCTGACGTGGAGAATTCTGAGTCTTTGAGGAGTCTCACTTGTTTGGATGACTCATGGATGTGGCTTATGCATGTTACTGGCTTGGCAGCCCTTAGCATGTTACAGATAGGGATGATGATGCTAGATGGTAAACTTCAGGAGAGTTTGTTGGTTCACTTAAAGAATTTGCTTAACATGTGAGACAAAACTATTCAGCTGCCATTTAGCAATATTTAAGTGACTCAGGTTGGATGATGTTACTGTCCTCTGTCCTCAGGGAGCTAAAGGACTGTGGCAAAGCTTATAGGTTAGAAAGGCAAACGTATAATTTGAATACAATATAGAAATAATAGAAATAACTATGCTAAGGTGGAAGTAATCAACCAGAGAGCAGTCATTACACTTGATCTGAATGATGACTCGCTGGGCTGGAAAGGATAATAAAGACATTTCAGGAAGGGGAAAGAACAATTGTAAAGATGCAGATACGTTTATTTCAAGAATACAAGTTAAAATTTAATTTCTTATTTATTGAAGGAGCCACAAATAATTTGCCTGGCTGAAGCATATGGTGTGTGGGGTGAAGTGGTGAGGGATGAAGTTGGACAGAGAGGCAAGGAACAACTGGTACCCAACCTTGAGTGCCGTGCACAGGAACTTGGACATTTCCCTTTAGGCCAGTGGTCTTCAAAGAGGAATGTGGGCTTGCAAAGCATGAGGAGAAGAGAGGAAACTGAAACTTTTGTTTTTTTATGTCATCCTTTTAAATGTCAATTTTCTGTATATTATGTAATAGAACAGGAATTCATGCCTATGTCAGGGGTGCATGATCAAAAAGAGCTCAGAGGTTATTGTTGTAGCTGATAGAGTCCAGGCAGGGAGTGGGTTATCCCCGAGGGTTTCAATCAGGGTAGAAGGATCAGATTTGCATTTTAAAGCAAGTTTTCTGGAATCATATAGGAGATTGGTTAGAGAAGAGCAGGTCTAGATTAAAAGAGATCAGTTGGGAAACTATTAGATTTGAATTAAGGCATTGCTAGAATGGAGAGACAGACACAGATTCAAGAAACTGAGTAGAATAAAAAATCACTATATTGTTCCTTTTTATTGCTGAATTAATACTTCATTGTATGAATAGACCCCATTTTGTTTATCCACTCACCAGCTGATGGACATTTGGATTGTTTCCAGGTTTTGCCTGTTT